CATCTCTGCTCCTGGGTATTAAATAAACTAACCAAGCACATAGTTATGATGAGCAAGAGTGCCTCTGCCAAAATTGTGAATTTTATGACCCAGGGTCAGGGGTTCTGGTGTTAGGGCGGGGCTCTATTGGTTATATAGTGAAAATGCATTTATTTCTTTGAAAATCTTCTTCTCTGCTTCTGGGTATTAAATAAACTATGTAAGTAAATAGTTATGATGAGCAAGAGGGCCTCTTCCAAAATTGTGAATTTTATGGCCCCAGGGTCAGGGGTTCTGGTGTTAGGGTGGGGCCTTATTGATTATATAGTGAAAATGCATTAATTCTTTGAAAATCTTCTTCTCTGCTCCTGGGTATTAAATAAACTATGTAAGTAAATAGTTATGATGAGCAAGAGTGCCTCTGCCAAAATTGTGAATTTTGTGGCCCCAGGGTCAGGGGTTCTGGTGTTAGGGTGGGGCCCTATTGATTATATAGTGAAAATGCATTAACTATTTGAAAATCTTCTTCTCTGCTCCTGGGTATTAAATAAACTATATAAGTAAATAGTTATGATAAGCAAGAGTGCTTCTTTCTCAATTGTGAATTTTGTGGCCCTTTGTGGCTCTTTTGATTATATAGTGTAAATACATTAATTCTTTGAAATTCTTTCCTTTGCTCCTGGGTTTTATGCCAATGATCCAAGTATATATATTTATGATGAAGAAAGGTGCATCTAGCAAAATGGTTATTCTGGGTCGGGGGGGGGAAGGTTTACAAAGTCTGAAAATAAATTAATGCTTTGAAATCTGCTCTTTGGTATTAATCAACCATTTTATGATAAAATTTGCAAAATTTTTAAATATGTGGCCCGGTTCAGTGGTTTATTTGGGGTGAGGTGCACAACCATGTATAAAGTGGAAGTGCATTCTATTTGTTACTCTGATCTACCTCTGGGTATTAAGTAAAAAGAGTAAGCATGCTAAGTTAATAATAATGATAAGCAATGGTGCCTTTTTTAAAATTATGAATTGTGAATTTCATGGCCTCTGGTTTAAAACACGATTCAAATTTAATTGTTTGAATGTTGTTACACAATACTCAGGTGACCTATAAGGCCCGTGGGCCTCTTGTATTCATGTAGAAATTTAATAAATACGAAGTATCCGTGCCCCACTAACACGGTTAAGTAAAACATGCCTGAGCTACATGTATCAGGCCATAGAATGGTAAAACAGGGAATTGCACATTTGTAAACTTTGTATTCAGAAGAAGAGGCTTAAAGGTCACCTGAGTATAATATAACACTGTAAAAGATTCACAGAAGTCAAGGGGGGAGGGTGTATTAGATTTTACAAGATTTACACCCCTTCACACATAGATGCTATAGGCCAAAATTTCTTGAAAATCGTTCACTTGTTCCAGAGAGAAGCTGAACATGTTTAATTGTTTATGTAGGACGACTGACAAAAACAAAGTGCAATAGATATTAAAACAAATGGCCTCGTTTTTAATTAGGTCATCTGTGTAGATTTAAAAGAAACCCCTTTTTTTCTCATAAATGAAGGATCCAAAGTCTTTAAATTATACCTAAGAATATTGAACATATTCAGCTTTGAAAGAGCACAAAAAAGAAATAAAGTTCGTTAATGGGCACAAATATACTGAATTTAAGAAAGAAAGAAATAAAACATTCCCATTTTATCAGTCATGCGAGTTCAAAATATTCTAGCTAAACTCTATCGTTAATTTTTTATTAACTCCCTGATTTATTAGTTTTATTAAAAATGAATAACACACAAGGGGAAAGCTAAGGATGGATGCTATCGTATTTCCTGCCTTGTGACGCTTTTGTCATTTTCAACTATTACTTCGCATTATAATAAATATTTTACACGTTTTATATTGATTCTAATAGCTACGTTATTTTTCATCTTTTACATGTAATTTGTATCAGACATTTAATAAGGAAGTGCATGTTTTACATGCTCTCCAGGGAGAGAAACAATCAGTTATTCTATTTGAATTCCTTTTTTTTCAAAAATGCTGCTGATTATGAATTATGCACTGATGTGATTGTTGCTTAGTTGTTGTTAGAGAGAAGAGTAGAACAAATGGATCGTCACTTTAATGACCTATTGTAACATTGATGTTTAAAGTGTAAATTTAATTCATTGAAAAATGTATAGAATATTTACACACAATTTACTTTCTTTAAAAGTGAGAGGTGGTCAAATAATGACAAAATTTCAAAATTATCTCATAAATAAAGACAATTATTTTTGTTTATAAAAAGTGTGTTTCGAAGGCACTTGAAAGTTCATTCTTTAAAACAATAACTTTAACGAGACACCGTGACGCATAAAAGTGGAAAACTGACAAATGTATAATTTTTGCATGACTCCGTGTAAATTTTGTTCAATTTCTAAAAGTATTAGGTTTCCGAAAATTAAGTGTTTCCATCGTAACCATTGTCTCATGTACCAAAGAATGATTGTAAGTAGAACAAAATTGTGATTCAATCTTTTAAAGAAGAGGCCCATGGCCCACATCGCTCACCTGAGCACATAGGCTATGAAATAATAGAAAAAATCACTTCAGTATTGAGAAGTTTACAAGGGAATTGGGGGTTTGGAATTTGAAACTACCAACTACCTGATGATGCTTCCATCAAACAAATGCCTTTGCTGTTTTTGAGCAGATCATTTTTTCCCCTATTTATTCATCCCCCCCATTGTGGCCCAGCCCTACCCCTGGAAATCCTATTTAAATTGATTCAGTATGACTTTGTACTACCTGAAGATGCCTTCAAATTATTATGTTTAAACATGGCTTTTCCGTTCTTGGGGGAAAAAATCCTTGATATTTCTAGGCAAAACTTTGATCCCCAATTGTGGCACATCCTACCCAACCCCTACTTCCCGTTTATGACTTAAACAAACTTCAATCAACACTGCATGAGGATGCTTACAATAAGATATGACCAATCATGACTTTGTGGTTCTTAAAAAGAAGAGTTTTTAAAAAAAATTCCGATGTATTCACACCTATGGAAAATTTAAATTGTCCACTGTGGCCCCGCCCTATCCCTGGAGGTCATGATTTGAACAAACTTGAATCTACCGGTACACAACCTGAGGATGTTATCAAATAAGTTTTATCTTTCCTGACCCAGTGGTTCTTGAGAAGATTTTCTAAGATATTTCCTATATATTCCTATGTAAATCTTTGATCGTCAGCTGTGGCCCCCCCCCCCCCCCCCCCCCCCCCCCGGAGTCATGATTTGAACATAATTAAATCTACACTATCTGAGGATGTTTTCACATAAGTTTCATCTTTCCTGGTCCTGTGGTTCTTGAAAAGAAGATTTTTAAAAGATTTTTCCTGTATATTAATTTGTAAATCTTTGATCATCAGCTATGGCCCGGCCCCACCTCCCGGGAGTCATGATTTGAACATAATTGAATCTACACTATCTGAGAATGTTTTTCAAAAGATTTTTCCTATATAATCCTTTGTGAATCTTTGATCGTCAGTTGTAGCCTAGTCCTACAACCGAGGGTCATGATTTCAACAAACTTGAATCAACACTACCTGAGGATGCTTAAATTCCACATGAGTTTCATCTTTCCTGATCAAGTGGTTCTGGAGAATAAGATTTTTAAAGACTTTTCCTATTTATTCCAATGTAAACCTGTGATAGGCCATTGTGGCCCCGCCCTACCCCCAGGGGATTATGATTAGAACAAAATTGAATCTACACTACCTGAGGATGCTTCCACATGAGTTTCATCTTTCCTGGCCCAATTGTTCTTGAGAAGACGATTTTTAAAGGATACCCTTAATTTTTCATATCTCCCCTTGGAAGAGGGCTTGGCCCTTCATGTGAAAAAACTTAAATCTCTTCACCCAAGGATACTTTGTGGCAGGTTCGGTTGAAATTTGCCAGTCCAGTGGTTGTTGAGAAAAAGATGAAAGTGTGAAAAGTTTACGGCTACGACGACGGACAAATTTTTATCAGAAAAGTTCACTTGAGCCTTTGGCTCAGGTGAGTTAAAAAGGTGTTAAAACATATTTCTCACTTATGTATGCTCCAGTTGAAGGTTATTTACAAGTTTGAGCTAAAAAAAAAGTGGCTTTAATTGACATACAACGAAACGGTAGAAACCACCTTTTTTCCGGCACTTATATTGTGCAGTCTTTTCTTAATTGCAGTTTGTCATATCGTAGCTATATTCTCTGTATACTACTGATATCTTAAAAGAAGCACATCAATTTGAGTCATTGATTTACTTTAAATGTTGATGTACAACATTGATATCGACAGAAGGTTTAATTTGCTTCACTATTGCGTTTCTCGATTTGCCTGAACTGAACTCATGAGGTAAGGGAAACAACTATCCTCCTTTTATCAGCTGTGCAGGTATGTCCATATCGCAGTTTTCTTAAAACAAGAATAAAGTAATTTGTTTTCAATTTTATTGAAAACACTTTAATACGTACAGAAAGTCTATTATAATCAAGAACAATATGTGTTTTTGAAACACTGATGCCTCCGTATAGCCCGTAAAGCCATAGCCCCATTCACTTAATAGTAAAATGTAGGTTAAATTTGACAACAGACAGGACAAAATATACCCCCGTAATCTTTCAATAGGGGAGGGGCATAAAAATTACACGAAATTGATTAAGTCAAAGAAAATTGTGTCTCTTGCAATACAGATATAAAACGTTTCTTTCATGGGAAAAGTTCTGAGATCCTTTAGGAGGTCCTTTTTTAATTATCATCTGTGAGTGAAAGATTAAATATAAGAGACCCCTAAAGTATACATCTTAGAGAGTGGATAAGAAAGCAATCGAACGCCCTATATATGAAAAAATACCTCTTAAAAATATAAAGACATAGTGGTAAATCAGATGTCATATAACCATAAAATAAAATCATTCGCATATCACGTAATCTGCCACTCTGAATCATAAATTAAAAAGAAACACCGAATATTGTTACCTAGCGACGTCTGACCATCATCATTGTTTCTCTGACGGATGTGCCATTCACAACTCTAGGATTCCAAGGCCAATCCCAATCTGTAGTTGACAAAGGCCCGTTCAGGAAGGCGTTGTAGCACCTGTTAAACCACCAGCCCCCTTTAAACCTTATAGCACAGTTATAATCAGATGACCTGTCGTTATCCCTATCGTACGTAGTAAAATACATCCCAGGCAACCGAAAGCTGGAATCTGCAGTTAACATACTGTCACCTATTAAATTACAGAAAACCAAATTAAAATTAAACAGCCTCATTATTCAGATAATATTCTTTTCTGTTATACATTTGTTAATCCATTATAAATTCTTGTCAACTGACCATGGAGCACGTGGCTCAATTATCCCACCTATGGAAAGAAACATTTTTGTTATTTCTTGTCATTTTTATAACAGCAGCAACAGCTGAATCGTTTCTTATCTTCTACGTAAATCTTACAGCATCACAAAACGATATTGAACTCGTACAGCAGACAGAAAGTCGCCATAAAATAGCTCGTCTTTTTAAGTAAATAAATACAGAGTTAAAAAGGCTGGTTGCAGAGAGATAAAATTAAAAACATCAAAGAAAGTTTACATTTTTTAAATATTTCGCATCATTTACATCATAGGTCGTAAATTATACCCATCTAATTTTTCATTGTATCATCTCTCATTAAGAAGGGAACTTGTATGTCAACAGATTGTTAGTTATATATGTATGAACGTGGCATGGGCAGGAAGGAAGATGTTTTATGAACAGGTCTGGACATAGGGATTAAAAAAATTGCCTGGTCATTGGCGGTATGCCTTTGAGTCCCTTATTTACAGTCTAATGACAAGTTAACATGTCAGCCAAGCAATTGCTTAGCATCTGTATATCCAAGTACGTGTGATATATCAAAAGGTCGCAATTTGGACACTTTCGAGTTAGTTCATCAGAACTTATTGATTCCAAACTGATAAAGATTTCTATCATTCAATTTAAGTTTACTGTAGAACCACATCGTGATTAGAGCTTCTCCTCTAGAATCGCGGAGTGAGGCGTTAATCCTTACGTCGCGAGTTCGAATCCCACTGTGGGACTTGAAGACTGGTACTTCAAATGAAACTGTAGGTGTTTTCACGAAAACATTCCTCCCTGCTCAATGCCTCTAAGTGCCAAGTTTAGAACAAGGTTTGCAGCTTTCCGCCAGTAAGTGGTGTCGTCACAATTTGAGTGAAATTATCGAGATGGACGTAAAACAATAATCAAACAAACACAAAATTTTCTTCGGGTCAAATTTTGAAGATTATACGCAATATTTGTTCATGGGGATTTTATATCATAGTTTAGGAACTGCTGACTTGTAATGTTATATATTTGAAATTTAATAGAAAAAGTTGGATTTCATGGATCTCCTTACTCCATAGAATCAACACAAGACGTCTGAAAGTAAAATAATACTTTTAATACTCCTATCAACACACTTCTATCGCAAATTTATACCTAATATTACAGATATGTAAAGCGTAATCAAATTTGCACGTAAGGTTAACGTTTTAGTTTAATGAAGACTATTTTGTAAACAACACGTTTTACACCCCCTCACCCCTCTCGTTTATCGATATACTTCTTTTTTTTCTCTTAATGTGACACTTTGCCAATATATTTCACTATGTGTAACAATCTACCTGTCACACGTAAATCTAGGTTCCCCGTGCAGGTCCCGTCAGAAATAGTTTATACTTCTCTGTTTCGTCCGAAATGGCGAACTTTTCGTACAACTCGTACAGGCTTGTACCATTCTGGAGAGTGATGGAGACATAAAGGGACGAGTTGTTTCCCTTTGTTAACCAACCAATGACGTCATTTCCGCATACAGATTAATAAGGCATTGCAATGCACACACTTTAAAGTAATATTCCCCCAAAAACGTGACATTATATTCTTTTTCAATTTAATCAAGGTACTGGGGAATCATCATTGTTCGTGGGGGGCTAATGTTCGTGGATTTCGAGAGTCACCCTCACCAACGAATTTACATTCCCTGCACTAACGTTTATTTTGTTATCATATTAGTTCATTGAGTCATTATATTTACGAGTAACCCATGAAATTACATCCCCACAAACGGTCAAATTTGGTTACAAACGAACCTTGACCACCATGAATTGCAATGATTCCACAGCAGCTAACCCGTATGAAGATTGTTTTCCATATTCAACTGATACATTTATTTTATTTTATTCTCTCTTTGCCCTAAAAATTATATTACTGCTAGACTCATTCTTTTCCGCGGGGTCATACTGCGGAATCTACATTTCTGTTTAATCCGCGGGTAGAAAATTACGCGGATTTCCTAGACTGTCAGTATACGCTTTACATTTATATTAAGTACGCTCGGACAATTTCCACGCAAACTTTGCTTACCGTACATAGCGTCATATATGATACCAGCGGAAAATGTACTTTACAGTATTTTTTCTTCATAAGACTTTTCGATTCTTATTATCATAGGAAAAGACACAACACAAGCATTGTAATGCCCTAAAGTAAAATGGTATGTTTTCCTCACATTAATGTTTAAGAACTATCAATCAGGAATTACCCAAAACATGATGTAAATTACATACATGTAATAATCTGTGTGAAATTCTGGCCTTAAATTCCTCTGAAAAAATTGATATGTTCCTAAATGGATCATTTGTCAAATATTTAATCGGAATAATGGCTCAGTTTTCATAGGATTTTTATTTACCTATCGAAACATTCTGTTCCTGTGTTCCGAAACCATTCTTATACGCCTCCCAGTTCTTCTCAAAGCTCAGGGATTCATTCACTCGTTTTTGTATAACCTTCCAACAAAAAACACATACTACTTATTCATTCAATTTTTATGAGACGAATATTTGTGTTGTGGAAAGTTCAATAAATTTTTGGGATTGTGTTTTTGTCCCTTATCAATCACTTGCTCAACAGAATGAGATACAAATAAATATTTCTTTTGCCAATTTTAAAACTTAATTCGTAAAAATAACAGATACCGTCCAGCCGCCTCCCTCTGTGATCATGTCACAGTAAGCGTTGATAGGACTGGAGTCGGTACCATAAGGATAAATCGGGTATACACCGGAATTAGTGTGACCTTTCTCAAGGTGATCCTTACAATCAGTACGAACTGAAACAGAAACAAAATCACACGTATATTAACACTTGGAATATATGCAAGTTTTAAAAAAAAGGACCCTAAAGAATCTTTTCCTCTTCAATTTTAATATATCGCTTATCTTGCACAGTTTTCTTACACTGCACTGCAAATACTTGTAGAATAGTATTGTGGTCTATAGTTTCTGCATTGACATTTTCATTCTCAGTCTTTATGAATGCCTTATTTCAGCTCAAATGAGAAATATTAGCACATAGTTTTACATGGAAATATACAGGAAATGATCGATTGTATATTGTTTTACGTCCCGCTCGAAAAAAATTTCACTCCATATAGAGACGTCAGCATATACATGTACCAAATTTTGACCTTTACTCGATACTCCAGGACATTGAGCAGCAGACGGATTTTATCCTGCCAACGTTGCTGGTTACAAATGGGGCCCCGGTTGTTTGAAGTTCCTCCCAAGGACCCGCAGCTTAAGATTCAGAGTGCAGGGCGCTCGGTGAAAGAACGGTGGGCTACACATTTTATCGACTAAGATCAGTCGCGGCCGAGATTCGAATTTACGACCTCCCGATCACTGAGTGAGTGCTTTGCGGACTGAGCTCCGTGAACGGTTTTCTCAAAAACAAGGAAGCTATTAGTCAAATTGATATGGAGAAATCCTTATGTAAAATTGTTCAAATCATGACCCTGAGGGTAGGGTGGGGGTCACGATAGGGATACAAGTTATATAAAAGATTATACGGATAGAAAAAGAAACTGCTGATGAATAGCAGAGCCGTATTGATTCGGAGTAATCGTTGTGGCCCATCTTAGGACCTCTTATTCAGGGATGTCAGCAAATAATGATCAGTCTATATCCTCCTCAATTTTCTTTTAAAGATTCAATTACTGAGAAATTTAATATAAATACCCTTTAATATAAAAATGCTTCCATAACATTTATCCACTACAAAGATACATTTAAGTGTTATCATTGATTTAACAAGTAACTGAGCTTTAATATCAACCTTTTTATTTCCACAGCATCTAAATTCAAATGTTTTCGTTCTCGTCGCTACAAAAATAATTTAATATTTTTTTTGCTTTTTGTGGGGACCACTTCTTTTCCCTTTTGATTGGTCCGTTTAAACTCAATTCACGATTGTAAAATTAATCCTTGATAATACCTTATCAAACTATAAAATCACATAGTTCTACTGTTTCTACCTTAATATTGTGTGTTTACAGGATATTGTTTTTACTGCTTCCTTCTTGTATGATAGGCTTTCTTTTGGTTCTTTTTACAAAAATGATGTTGAAATTTAATCACTCATTATATATGTATGGAGTGACTGGCCGATAATATTGATTGATTGTATCATTATGTTTAGAATCGTGCATTTTTATTAATACACAAGATTGCTACTTTTCCTTAGTATTAAGTATAAAATAAACTTTTGTGAAAGTGCAAGGATGTGACAATCAAACCAATCCAAAATTTTGTGTGAAATGCTAATACAATATATAAGTCGTGATATTGTACAGAAAATATTAACTTCAAATCTGTGTCTTTGCATCTTTAAGTTTGTTCAAGTTATGACTCTCCCTGAGGAGGGGGCCACAATGGCGATTTTTTGAAAAGGAATATGTAGAAATAAAAATGTTTAATGTCCAAGATCAGGAAAGGCTTTGGTTATATTGATGTTAAAGTATCTTCAGGAAGTTCAGAATTCAAATTAAAATTCAACCCAGACCCCGGTGTTTAACTACTAGTATTGATTTTAGCTTTTTTTTTTAGCCAATGTTCTCGGATGACTGATATGGCCCATGGGCCTCTTGTTCTCGAGGTAAGCAGATACATTTTGTATTAGATACGGATTTTGAAAGTAAATAATTAAAAAACACAAAGACTTAAAAACAACATTTTTTTTCAACCTTGACAAACCAAGTCCGTTATCCAGGTCCCATTTTTATGGCACACGATCATTCCGGATCCTTGCTGTTCAAAGGAATTCAAGCATTTAATGTGCATACGTTTTCTTATCCCTATTCCTTCCCAGTCCCGTACATCCCACTTGGTATTCTTTATTCTTTTGACAGGGATCCCACAATCTGATAAAAAAAAAATCTATCAACTTTATTCATCTCAACATTTACAAGCGGGGGGGGGGGGGGGGGGTATTAAAAGCAAGATTGATTGATTATATGTTGTTTAGCGCCCCTCTCTCCCGAGTTTTTCACTCATATGGAGACGCTACTATATGTCGATGTAGAGCTTCAAATTTCTTCCTATACTCGGCACTTAGGGCCATTGGTCAGTGAGGGATCTTTATCGAGCCGGCACCTACTCCGACACAGGGACTCTGTTAATACGGTCCCGTACGAAGAATGGGACGCCACGTCCTACAGTGGAATTTGAACCAGTGACGTATGGGTGGATTCCTTCGCGATTTGCGTTCTAATCACTGCGCCACGCGGGCAACATTTCTAGAATACAAAAGGTGTTTTAAAGGTGGATGAAATGTGACGAAAATAATCAGCCTAATATATGGTATGTGTACAGAAATTAGCGTCTTCAAAATTTGACATTATATCTCGGTATGGAGTGGTTAGCGAAGTGATAATACGCGCTAAAAATGTTATTAGGTGAATTTGAAAAAAAATATTAAACATGGAATTATATTTACATACCACAGGCCTTTAGATCGCTTAGAAAAAAAATTGAGGTGTTGAAAAAAAAAATATTTTTTTACACACACAATTTTTTTTAAGCGATCCAAAGGCCTGTGTTACATACATTTATATAGGCTTTTTGCCTATCAAAATAGACTCGGTGTTCAAGGCCTGTTAATTGGCAGATCAAAGCAAGTAAATTAATAAACAAGAGGCCCATGGGCCTTATAGGTCACCTGAGTATCCCGTATTGAACTTCATTCGTATTTTAAACCTGAGGACATGAAATTCACAATTTTGAAAGAGGCACCGTTGCTTATCATAATTATACACTTAGCATGCTTACTTTGATTACCTTTGTAACCACTTGTGCATCCCTCCGCGCAGGAACCACTGACCCTGGGTCAACATATTTCAAAATTTTGGAAATATTATCAAGAATTTTATTTCATCATAAATTGTTGATGAATATTAAAGCATTAATTTATATTCAGACTATGTACCCCACCCCCTCCAAAAACCTCTGACCCAAAGGCCCAAAAATTAACCATTTTGGAAGAGGCAGCTTTCTTCATCATAAATATGTACTTAGATAAATGGCATAATATCTAGGAGCGAAGGAAAAGATTTTCAAAGAAATGCATTTTCATTATATAAACAGAGCCCCGCCCTAACACAAGAAGCCCTGACCCAGGGGCCATGAAGATCATACCAACAGTTTGACTGCTTGATGCAAAGTGGCATCCTTCCTCCTCATAACTATATACATAGTTCATTGGTTTAATACCCAGGGGCAGAAAAGAAGATTTTCAAAGAAACAATTCATTTTCCCAGACCCTAGATAATTTTTATATATAGCCCCGCCCTAGCACCCCTGACCCTGAGGCCATGAAATGTACGATTTTGGAAGAAGCAGCCATATTCAACATAACTGTGCACTTGGTTAGTTTAATTAATGCGCATGAGCAGAGAAGAACTTCAAAGAATTTATGCGTTTTCACTATTTAATCTATATAGCCCCGCCTTAGCACAAGAACCCCTGACCCTGGGGCCATGAAATTCACAATTTTGGAAGAGGCAGCCATATTCAACATAACTATGCACTTGGTTAATTCATTAGTGCTCTTGAGCAGAGAAGAAGAATTTCAAAGTATTTATGCATTTTCACTATATAATATAGCCCCGCCCTAGCACTACATATGTACCGGTAGAACCCCTGTCCTTTGGGCCATGAATTTCACAATTTTGGTAGAGAACTCAATGCTGATTACGATCATACCAACAGTTTGACTGCTTGATGTCCAGTAGTAAAGAAAAAGATTTTTAAAGATTGCATTAATTTTAGTGGTTTTGGCCCCACTCCTCAGGCCCCAGGGGGGCAGGGATCATGAAATACACAATTTTTGTTCCACTTCACCTATAGATGCTATATGCCAAAATTGGTTGAAATTGGTTCAGGGGTTTCAGAGAAAAAGCTGAAAATGTTCAAATGTTACCGCACGACGACGGACGAAAACGGATAGCAATAGGTCATCTGAGTTTACCCAGGTGACCTAAAAATAATATCGCTTTCATTAATTAACGGTGATTATGAAATAGCGTAAGTGCATCGCTGTATCCGCCAATCCCGCTAAAATATCAGGTCCGCTTTTTAAGTATACATCCTGTATATTAATTAATTTGTGTCGCCCGCTTAGGGAAAAAGTAAACCATGCGCAGTTCGGTGGGGGAGGGGGGTCGGATCTCCCTGACTGAATTTGTAGAATTATTAAGGATACACCAAAGGCTTTTTTCAAGATTTTTGTCAATTTTGAGATTTTTGGCTAAGAAAACAATGCTAATCATTGCTTTATAATGCATGAAAAATTCTTGCTGATTATTAAATGGTTTTCTAATTATTTAACAATAATCAAACATAAACACTAACACATGTGAATGTGCCGTTATTGAAGCTTCTGATTTGGTCTGTAACTGCCTGCTTCTGAAAGGAGCAATAAATCACTGTGACCACTTGGGGAATTCTTCACTAGCCACTATCAGTAATTAAACTACAGGGACTCTAGATTTAGGGAAGGAGATCTAACAGGTCACTAATGACCATGAAATAGGAGGTGGAGCTTAACTCTTGCCATTTTGCCGGGAAATCTTTCTGATTCAGAATTGAACCTATTTTACTTCATTAAAAGCACCTAAATAAAGAACAGAACCTCCCATTCTTGTGAATATGCATAGGAAATATGGATAAGTGACAGGTATCCAAAGCTGAATCTCCGAGGTGTCATATATTTCCAGCTTTGGCAGACTTTGTTGTGTAATGGGTTTTTGCCCTCTACTGCTCTACTGTAAAGTAAGATCAGACAGTTGGTGGTATTATTTGAAAGGATTCAGCTCCCTTATTTATTGACCAATTTCTCTGAAAAGTGGCCAGAATGTGTCTCAAATGTGTTTTCACTAAACCGTATCTCAGATTTTTGATATCTTGCTCAGTTCTCGAATTATTGGGGGAAATGTAGAATTAGGCTAATAAATTGGTAACATTGAAAGACAAATGGATGTAACTTTTGAATAAGAAGATTTATCAAAAATCTGAGATACGGTTTTAAAGTTCAATCTTTAGTCTACATTGAGGCAAAATTTTGACTTTGAGAGGTGGAATACAAAAAAGTTGATTTATAAAATATAAATGCACATATATTTACATTAAAATATTAATAATTTTTTAATAAGATAAAATTGAAAATTTTAAATTACGATCATTAAATAGTAAATTTAACAAGCTTTCAAATGATATATACATTTAACATGTTATCTTTGTTAATGAAAGAATTACAAGCAAATTAAATTTTGCCCTTTGGAAACCTTTGGTGTATCCTTAAATGTATACATGTATACTGAATCAAATAAAATATGTCAGTATGGATATAAAGATTTGATTGCTTATGTGTATAGAAGATTCCTTTTATATGGAATATTTATCACACTGTAATGATATTATGAGGTTATACAAGCTAGACCTCATACTTTTTTCATTTCACATGCTGAATATTATCATTTAGTAAAAAAAAGTATTTCGGAAAAAAAAATGGATCGTCCTGGAATCGAACCCGGGACCTCTCACATGTGAAGCGGGAGACACACCACTACACCACGGAACTGCTGTACTTTAACAAAAATAATATGCACAGATAAAGACACATACATGTATATACGTTCGATATTGTAAAAATTTTACACAATGCATGGTGTCTAATTTAACCTTTATTAAAAAGTTCTAATAGATGTAAAATATAAAGTCAGCCGAGAACCTTTTTCATACGGAATAACTCTCCTTCATGTCCCTGTGCCAAAAATAGCGACATGTAATACAATAAATACTAATAAAACAAACGGGGCGGGGCACTTTGAGAGGGGTGAGAGAGGTCATAGGGACTTTTGGTATAAAATTACATTGCAAAAGCTCAACATCTTCTTGAAATATCGCCCGAAAACGAAAGTGTTGCACACAAACAGAATGTATATATTTATGACCTGGAATTTTGACCTTTTGACCTCAAAATCAATCTTTAAGCCACAGGGAGTTGTTCTGTAAAATGTCATTGCAAAAGCTCAAAGGGTTCCCGAGATATTGCGCGGAAACGAAAGTGTTATAAGAAAAAGAATTTGCGAATATATGACCTTGACCTTTGGACCTCAAAATCAATAGGGTTTTTCTTTAGTCCATAAGGAGCTGCTACGCAAAATTTCATTGCAAAAGCTCAAAGGGTTCTCGAGATATGGTGTGGAAACGTAAGCGTTACAGACAGACAGAATGACGGACAGACGGACGGACAGACCCAATTAATATCCCACACTTTTCAAGCGGGGGACAAAAATTTATACCCCATGAATGAGAACATCCCAAGCGACAAGACATATTTGAACTGCTAATGTTCCATCTTGGGTTTGAAAGTATTTTGTTTGACTGCGTGCTTTAAATCTCTAAAACAATTTTAAACTAAGTGTTAAAAATGAACGCTGCAAAGCTGCATTGACTCCTCAGAGATTTCGTACCATTACAATCATTTATTAGAGCGAAACTTCCGTAATCGGGAGGTCGTGAGTTGTAATCTTGGCCTCGAGTGACAGCTGTTCCTTCGTCAGGCGCTCGGCAATTGAAGTGAAAGTTGCGGATCTTTCGTATGAGACATTAAAAACCGAGGTCCCTTGTCACGCAAAGCATTGGCACGATAAAGATCCCTCACTGCTTAATGACTCTGAGTGCCGACCTTGCAGTGGCGTAGCATTTTTGAAAGTGGGGGGGCCAGCCAGAGAAAAAAATTTTTTACTTACCTGAAAAAGTTGACAAGCAAAAACAAAAAAAAAACAAAAAAAAAAAAAGAAAACTTGCCCAGAGTCGAAAATCCTATTTTCGGGGGGGGGGGGGGGGGGGTAGAGGTAAACTTTTTCTCAGTTACAACTACTTTCAGTACCAATTCTAATACTACATTTTCTGGACATCACTATAAGCCTAAAAAGTGGGGGGGGCCAACCAGGCTTTCAATTAACATTTCGTATAGTATAAGTAAGGTTGGGGGAAACCCCCCCTGGCCCACCCTGTTGCTACGCCCCTGCCTTGTACATTGTTGGTTACCCTAGTATGATGTACATTTGTAACAACTTTTCAACAATCCTAATTTGGCTTTTGTTTAAACCTTGATAGAACCATGAAATTCACAATATGTAAAGAGCATATCATTACGATCATAACTACACAATCATGATATACTGTAATCTGGAAATTTTTACGTTGATTTCATTTTGCGAATTGGGTTAAAATGCTGTTGATTAATTTTTACGAATGACCGCTGCTTTGTTCACATTTTCTTATTGTAATTTATTTTTAAGAAAAATATTTTTGCTAATGCAACGAACTTGCAAATTAGCTAAAAATTTATCTACAGCAAAAATTTCGAGATTTACGGTACTAGCACGCTTACTTTGGTTACTTAGCACCTAGAGGTAGATGAAGTAACAAAGAAACGCATTCATTTTCCACTTTATAACCAGTTGTGCATCGCCACTGACAGGAACCACTGACTCGGGTCACAGTATTCAAGATTTTGGAAATTTTATCATAAATTCTTTTCATCATAAAAGGTTGATCAATACCACAGAGGAGAATTCAATGCATTTATTTTCGGACTCTGTTACCCCACCCCACCCACGGTAACCCTGATCCTGGCCCTGAAATTAACCATTTTGGAAGAAACGCCTTTCTTCATCATAAATATGTAAGAGGTCATTGCAATTAAATCATTAGAGCCCGTCCTAACACAAGCACCCTGACCTAGCGCTCCTGAAATTCTCAAATTTGGAAGAGGCATTCTTCCTCATCATAACTATGTACATAGTTCATTAAATTATCACCCAGGTGAAGAGGAGATTTTTAAAGAATTAATGAATTTTCACTAGATTAATAATAGAGCTAAAAACCCAAACCAGGGGCCATGAAACTTACAATTTTGGAAGGCTTCAGCCTTATTCAATACAAATACGTACTTGGATAGTTTATTTGATACCAAGGAGCGTTTATTAAATACCAAGGAGCAGAGAAGATTTTCAGACAATTTCTGGCATTTTCATTAGCAGTACAGTTATTAAGGCTACATATGAAAGTAATATGGTAATGAGGTTTTACGTCATGACAGTAGCTCCGCCCTGATTGCTCCATATAAGGAAATAGTCTCAAAATAATTATTTACCGATATTTGCAAGAATTTGTAACAAACGGCTATATTTTATTGATTAAATAAATAATTATGAGTGATTTTCCGTTATATATATATATATTTAGTGGCTGCAACGTTAATTATTGTTGACAACTCACACGCACGATCACGTTACACGAACGATTCCGCACGATAATATCTGTTACACGAACGATCCTTCACGCACACGATTCTACACATGTCACGATCTTACACGATTGCTAAAGCAAACGCACGATTCTTCACGCAATATAGTTCAAAATAATTTCAAAACGAAAGAAGGCTTAATACCTATTTTAAAGTTAAAATAATTGTTTTTATTATTTCACTGAAAAAATAATAATATTAGATGGATTGTATTCCTCGACCCATATCGGTGTGTACTGCAATCAAAAGTTGTTTTTTATCTGCTGAACACTAAGTATGAAGACAAGATTATTAGAGAGAATAAATATACATATATTAGTGTCTAACTATAACTCTACAGATCCCGTAAGGCAAAACAGGTACAATTTACGGCGCGATTTCATGTGCACTTTTGGTAAAATTTGTCCACTTTCCCTCATGGTTCAATTTCTCTACAAGTGATTAATTCGCTTGATTAGAATTATTTGTTGGATTGCTGAAAATTCATTCAAGCGAGTTTATCGCCTAGAGAGGCTGGGAGGTGTATAAAAAAATACATTTTCATTTTTCAATGACATTTCTTCTATTTTACTTTCAAAATTTAATACTTAACGATTTCTTTAATATCTCACCTGACAAAACGCATTCGTATTCTCCAAAAGGTTTAGGGATGCATTTTTCATAGTTTTTACAGGGTGATCCTGCACAAGATCCTGCGAGAACCTAAAACGTATATTCAAAAAAAGAGAGATAATTCTTGTTCAACAGAAAAAAATTGAAACTGAAAATTTTTGACATAAATGGATGTTATAAGGTTGTTCACCAGACAGAAATAATGAAATTATGAACCTGAAAATTACTGACATTAATTGAGATAATTCCTGTTCAACAGATGAAAAGTAATGAAATTTTGCAAATGTAACCCTAACAAAAAAACTATAGTTAACTATAGTTTATGATAGTTAACTACAATTTACTATAGTTAATTTAGAATTAACCGTGTAACGTCACATATCTATAACATATGGGTCATTAGCTATTATCATAGTTCATTAGCTAAAGTCGATAACATCATATCCGCTCTTCAATGTATACCATTTGATTTTTTATCAACATTTTGTACTTATACAAAAATATCTTTTAGTCAAATAGGTATTCATTTGATGCTGATAATCGCCAGTGTGTTTCCTACAGAATTACACAATAACAGGAACATTAACGTTTTAAATGTTCAATGCTAAACTTATATAACTAGTTTTAATTTAAACATTAAATTTAATGGTTATCATATAACGTGGACTATCGCATAAGAAATACACTTAGATTCCTGAAGAAGTTAGTGTTTATTTCAATATTGAAATTCAACCCCGTTCCCTGTCTGTATTTCATCTCTCTCTTTCTCTCTAGATAGAGAATACAAAGATATTTACCTCATCCCAGTACCTAATGTCAGTGTATAACCAGCCCGGGGCTTGTCTGTAAAATGCTGGTCGAGTAGTATTTCTTCTGAAGTTAATTTCACAAAAGTTTGCGCCTTTGTAGTAATTTACCGATTTACACCTTCTGGTTCTGAGACACTCTTCAACACAGTCCAGTAGGCTATAGTTCACGTAAGATTCTATCATTCTATAAAGAAGTCTGTAGCCATATTTTATAGAAGAATATCCAGCTTTTAAATCTCCATGGATACGTAAAATGATATTAAGGATAATAAAAGCAGTTTTAAGATAATTGAAGATTTTCATGATTCCTGCTTAATAAAATCAACGCTTAAATATTATATGTTGTTAATACATGTAATCCTCTCTGGGAATATTTAAAAGCATTAGGCTTTTAAATTTTCTCTTTGTCAAATACAGTGTTTAACGATATTTCCATTGTATTTATACCTAGTATTTAATCAATATTAACCATGACATATTCATCATTAAAAAAAAACAAATATATATTGATCTTCACCTGAAGAGGAATGGTTGAAAATATTTACATTGTTATCTCTTTGTTTGCTTTATACTAGACTGCTTAAATTGTCACAATTTAATCTTTAACGAAATATTAAAACATAGCGAATATACAAAAAAGTGCCTATTGAAGAGTTTTATCTTATTCTAGAAGGATATAATAAATTCAGAGGCATGACAAGTGTATTTAAATGATTAACATATTTTGCACTTAAAGCTATTTTCCCTGTGCAAATTAAAAAAAAAATTCTTACTTCTAAAGCTTGATTTTTATGTAAATTTATGTACCTTTTATAAAGTATCTGTTTTAAACTGTTTAAATTTTATTTATGTATAAACCTAATAAGGTGAGAGAAATTATATTTTTCGTTTTACGGATCTGCCGACCCGATTTTTTCCGATTTCTTAAAAAAAAAAAAATCCGGAATTTTCATATCCACCCAAGTTTGGTTTCAAAATTATCTTTTTCAAATAAAATCTTCAAAACGTTTGATAATGGCAGCACTGAATGTGTAATTTAAAGCGTCTTATTCACAACGAATATTAACCAACATGGAGACACAAGCCATGCTTGGTTTGTTCATCTCTGTTATTCTGAAGATATTTGGAAATCAAAAGCATCTTCAGCATTCAGAAATGTCCTAATTTATTTGAGCCCTACACTCTCAATGAGGGTTTTGGCCACTTACTTGTATTGCATTTCAACTAGGCCACATTAAAGAGAGTTTTGTCGATAGTATTTCAGAAAGGTATGTAGTAACTAAGTAAGGCTTCCATCATAATGAGTCCCACTTATGCACAGTCTTCAATTAATCTTTTTATTCTCTTTGGGCTTAGTATGATGGAATTTTGATATGAAGACCAGATTATTTAAGTTGTTAGGCATGTTTACTGCATAAACATTTAACCTAGAACTTTTGAAAAATAGTAAGCCTTACTTGATCACCCTGTCGTTTCAACATGTAATTGAAATAATACATATTGTTCATTTTAGTCCTTTAAACATGGATGAATTTTTTTTTATCATTGTATGGGTACTGCTGTTTTGAAATCATACTCTTTTTTCAAGATATGATCCTTTTTTTCAAAATCATAATTTGGGATTTATTCTATACCCTTTTAAGATTACAAACAGGCAATACTTTTACTAAGCATTGGAGGTACAGTACTTAGTGAAAGTGATTTAATCTAAAATTTCTATCAGCTAGTTTCTTGCATAGATAGGCCTCAATTTCTTCAAAAGTAATTTTTATCACAAGCTTGATAGCTAGTATTTTACCCTAGACTAATGATCTTTGAGAAATGTACATATTCAGTACTGGAAATTGTTAGCTTAAGTTACATTATAGTCTGAGTATCTGAAAAATTTGTCCATTTGTATATTGGCATGTCCAAGAAATTGACTCTGGTATGTGATATTTTTTTAATAAGTCAATATTTAATGTTTATGATGAGTTCCATGTGGCAACCAGCAACACAAATTGCAACAAATGGCAAAAGACATAAAGGTTTGATCAAATTTTAATTGAATAATAAAAAATATCTGATTTAATCTAAAACTATTTTTATCAAATTTGTACTCACGGTAGCATCAGCCATCAGACCATAGAATGGTAAAAGCAACACTGAATCACACATTAAAAACTCTGTATTCAGAACAAAAGGCTCTTGGGCCTTAACGGTCACCAGAGTATACACTGTAATACAAAACTGTAAAAGATTCAGTGAAGTCAAAGGGATCACCGATATATGCTATAGGCCAAAATTGCTTGAAATTGGTTCACTTGTTCCAGAGAAAAGCTGAACATGTTTAACTGTTTATGTAGGACGACTGACGAAAACAAAGTGCAGTAGATATTAAAACAAATGACTTCGTTCTTAATCAAGTCATGTGTGTAGATAAATAAAACCCCTTTATACTCTTAAATGAAGGATCCAACCTCCTTAAATTATATCTATAAATATAAAACATAATTAGCTTTGAAAGAGCACAAAAAAGAAATTAAGCTCGTTAATTGGCACAAATATAATGAATGTAATAAAGGAGAAAATAAAGGGACTTTCCCATTTTATCAGTTGTGCGAGTTCAAATTATTCTAGCTTAACTCTGTCGTTAATATTTTGTTTTGCTCCTCGATTTATTAAGTTTAAATAAAATTGATAGCACTCAAAACCGCATGGGGAACGTTTAGGACGGGTGCAGAAGGATTTCCTGCTTTCTTTGACGCTTTTGTTACTCTAAACTGTTTTTTCACTTTGTAATAAATATTTCACAAGTATTATATTGATTCTTGTAGCTACGTTTTTGTTATCATTTTTTACACATAATTTGTGTCAGGCATTTGATAAGGAAGTGCATATTTAATATGCCCTCCAGGGAGAGAAAACAATCGGTTAATCTATTTGACTCTCTTTTTTTTCAAAAAATGCCGCTGATTGTTAATTATGCACTGATATGATAAGATACTGCTCAGTGGTTGTTAGAGGGAAAGTTCAGAATAATCGATTGCAACTCTATTACATGTAACCAATGGAAGCATTTTCGTTCCGAGTATAAACTTAATTCACTGAACAAAGTATTTATAGTGTGCAGAAAACAAACAGATGATTTAAGGCTCATTGTTTCTGTTAGTTAAAATTTAAAAAGTCTCATTTAAGCAATAACAAGAGGCCAACGGGCCTTATAGGTCACCTGAGTATCCCGGAATTGAATTTGATTCGTGTTTTAAACCCAAAGACATGAAATTCACAATTAATATTGAAAGAGGCACCATTGCCTATCATAATTACACAATTAGCATGCTTACTTTGGGCACTTAATACCCAGGGGTAGATCAGAGTAATTTAACAAAGAGAAAATTCATTTCCACTTTGTACATGTAACCACTTGTGAACACCTCCTCACAGGAACCACTGACCCTGGGGCAACATATTTCAAAATTTGGGAATTTCATCATGAATTTTATTTTATCATAAAGGAGATGGGTGAACTTAGCGTGCATAAAACCCACAAGCTTCAGATATATAAATATCATATTCAACTGTGATTTTAGTATTTAGAGTAAAGTTCTCATCATTGATTTTTGTAAAATCATGGTGAACAAAAAGTTTTGAGAAAAATTATAAAGAAAAATAATGCGGTATGCGGTTCGAACCCTGGCAATAAAAATCCTGAGTTGCATTCTCTGTTGAGACTACCACGCTAACCACTACGCTACACAAGTCCTGATGATGTGTGGCATTTAAATCATGTTTGTGATATGACCATTGACTTAGGGGACTTCAAGTATTTCTCGAAAAGATACGAAAGTTATGTCATAAAATTATATTTTTAAGGTAGAGTGGGTCATTGCTCCATAGTTTTGGAAACCAAAATATGTATGTTTTTATGCAAACTTTGAGGATTACCTTTCAAAAAAGTGGAGAGAAGACCCACTCATAACGAAAAACAGTGTTATAGTGTGAAAAAATGACTCGTTTTGTCCTCTTTCGTGTGCGTATAATATTTCATACGCAAATAACTTCAATTTTCATGAGATTTGTGCAAGTTGTAAAGATTTTACATAAAGTATACTTTAATATTAGATGTAATATTAAGGAAAATTTTGATAAAATTGAGATTTAATTTTTCAACTTCATGTATGTCGCGCTATGCGCTTATTATCTCTCGTCATGTTAACCCATCTTCTTGTTGATTAATAATTAAAGTGCAGATTTCAAAGAAATAATTTATATTCAGACTATGTAACCCCCCCCCCCCCCCTCCAAATACCTCTGGCCTAGGGCCTAGAAATTAGCCATTTTCGAAGAGGCAGGTTTTTGTCATCATAAATGTGTACTTTTATCATTAGCATAATATCCAGGAGCAAAGAGAAGGATTTTCAAAGATTTCATGCATTTTCATTATATAAACATTAGAGCCCCGCCCTAACACAAGAAGCCCTGACCCAGGGCCATGAAATTCACAAATCTCAAAGAGGCATCCTTTCTCCTCAAAACTATGTACACAGTTCATTGGTTTAATACCCAAGCATAAAAAATGAGATTTTCAAAGAAATAATTCATTTCCCCTATATAATCTTTATAGCCCCGCCAAAGCACTAAAACCCCTGACCCTGGGACCATGAAATTCACAATTTTGGAAGAGGTAGTTTTACTCAACATAACCATGCACCTGGTTAGTTTATCTTATGCCCATGAGCAGAGAAGAAGAATTTCAAAGAATTTATGCATTTTCACTATATAATCTATACAGCCCTAAATCAACATAACTATGCACAACAATCATAACTGTACCAACATTTTGACTGCTTGATGTCCAGGAGTTAAGAAAAAGATTTTTAGAGATTGCACTAGTTTGAGAGGTTTTGATCCCACCCCTAAGGGGACAGGGACCATGAAATTCACAATTTTTGTTCCTCTTCACCCATAGATGCTATATGCCAAAATTGGTTTAAATTGGTTCTGCGGTTTCAGAGAAGAAGCTGAAAATGTTTAAATGTTAACGCACGAACGACGACGGACGAAAACATATAGCAATAGGTCACCCGAGTTTACTCAGGTGACCTAATAAGGGACCCAAGGGCCTTGAATCGCTCTTCTGAACCTATCACTTCTATTTGAAGCCTGTAACCTTAAGTATCCTAAGACCCAAACTGCATTAA